CAGCCTGGCTTACACAAAAGATGTGTACCTTGTCCTAAAAACTTGTTTGCAAGGCAGAAGTGAAGGCTGAACCCTCCTGTCTTGCTCGCACACATGCTAATGCACAAGGTCCCCTTTCTTGGATCATTCTTTTAGATTTTTTTTTAGAATAAGCCAAGACATCTACTTGTTTAAAATAAGCCAAGCCATTACACAATCTTTTAGCCTGCATTCTTTTTTCAGGTGTATCTTTATCCCCCACTTTGCTGTCTTCAGGCTCTCTACTTCAATACTTATTTCCCATGCACCCAGGTCACATTTTGCTAATTTTGCCCCTGTAACTAAATCATCTTCTTTCTTCCTTCTCTAGACAGTTGAGCACTAGAATGATAAGAGGTAGCTTGTGAAATGTATGATACTTCAGCTGTTTTCTGACATTTTCCAGCCTGTAGAGAGAGATTATTTTTTTCATGGATCCATTTTAATTTTTGCCTTTAAATTATGTCCTAAATATTATGAAAAGGAGGGAAAGGACTGTGAATTATTTGCTTTTTATTTATTTTAAATATATTCTAGGCATTTTCTTGTTTAAATCTATCTGTCCTACTGTCTCCAAATGTTTCTACGCTCTGTATATATTTTAGAATGTATTCTTTGATTCTAACCAACGAACATAGCATTTCTTAGTTGTCCCTCTTAGTTTTTTTTATTATGAATTGGTATTTAATTTTATTTGTATTGAGAAATGCAAAACAACTTTTGACAAGTAATCCCCAGAATGTGTTTCAGACAAATAACATCATTCACAATGGTGAATATCTATTCTGTCTCTCCTTTATTAAATTCTTAATAGTCACCTATGTGACTACTGATTTCTTTTTCTGTCTGGCTTGCCTTTGTCATGTTTCAGTTCTCCCATGTAGAAGCCTAAAGAGACCAATTTATTCTCTATCCTTTCTATTTTCCTTTTAAGACTGACACTCAACATTCCATAGGTCTTGGTGATCTCTAAGTATACTTGGCCCTCATTAGGGTTTTGGGTTTTTGGGGTTTTTTTTTTGCCACTTTGGCAAATGAATATTTTTTAAAACAATATTTTTGTACTGCTGCAAAACTCAGGGTTCCTTATGCGTATTAATTAATTTCTCAGTGATTTCTCTTTTTATGAGGATATTCAATTCACTGTTGGAAGAAATGTTACTTTAAATGTTTGACTCTTGTTATTTTTTCCTCAGTTCTCCTGCAAAATGGATTGCAACTTGCCTGTATGTAAATCTGTAATGCATATACAACTGTATCTATCTGTTCACCAAGCAATAACTTTTGTGGTAAATTGAGCCTAATATATCTCAGAGAATGTTGCAGCAAATATAAAGTGTACAAGCTGTATTACTCCATGATGTTCATCTAAGCTAGTTCATAGAGACCAGCTGCCCCAACAAGGAGATAATTTGAAATAACTATCATTTTTAAATAGTCTCTTTTTTTTCCACGTAGCCAAAATGAACTACATTTTCTCCTCTGCTATGCTGTTAATATTCATATTTGTCTACCACAGACTATTTCAAAGCAATTCCCAAATGCCATTATATGCATATAATTATCAACAGCTTAAATATTTTATTTCTATTACTTTATACTGTGTTTAAAGGCTATAGGAGTTCTAAGTTTGTGTGTTTAATTGTTAAGAAATAAATTTAATAACTTTATATAGGAAGGGTTCAGTTAGAAGATGGAAAGTCTTTTTCCATTTTTATATTGTTTTTAATTTTGGAAACTTAGCAGGTCAAAATCTTTATCTCCTAAGCATTGCCTGTTATATACGGTTTAATTAAAGAATTATAGTTTTGCATGTGTCTTAATTTAGTTTGCACGCTGCAAATGTTAGCTTAGGTGAACAGAATACCTTACACGTAGTCCTCAGTTAACTATGGTAATTGGGACCAGGAACTCCACCATTAAGCGATGCGGCCGTAAAGTGCAACATCACATGACTGTGCTGACTTACAATGGCAGTTCTAGCAGTTTCAGTTGCAGTCCTTAGGCAAATCCCACATGGTGTTAAGCACGACATCATGTGATTGCCTCTTGTGACCTCATGCCGGCTTCCCCATTGACTTTGCTTGTCAGAAGCTGGCAATGAAGGTCATAATTAGTGATCACATGACTGCAGAACACTGTAACCGTTGTAATTGTGAGCCAGTTGCCAAGCACTTGAATTGCTATCACATGACAACAGGGACTTTGAGGACCAGTTGTAAGTCTCCTTACTCAATGCTGTTGTAATTTCGAACGGTCATTGAACAAGTGGTCTTTAACCGAGGACTACCTGTATTTGGTACTGAAGGCAGTTATCTGTCTTGAACTGCTTTGGAGGGAGGCATCCTTTGTACTCAGAATGCCCTTTTTATGAAAGCCGTTTTCAGATAAGTAAATGCAGAAAATTGAGGCAGAAATCCAGGAAGGAAGCATATTGTTAATTTCTTTTAATAATATAACCTGACTCTGATGCATTCAGTGCATGTACAGACTCTCTTTTGTGACAAATTCTTTTCCTGAAGTAACAGCAGCAGAAATATTATCTGCTCAAGAGCCATGTCCTCCTGGGGATGTCTTTACAACTCTTGACCAAGGATTTTGGTTTTGTACAACCTTAAAGTTACTTGCAAAGAAAAGGATTGAATTAACAATTTAACATGTAACATTAAATATTTCTGTAATACTGTGTACTGCTCATCAGAATATTATATAGGCAATGAACAGAAGATAATGTTCCATGAACTTAATCTTCAAAACCCTTTTGTACTTAAGGAGCTTGCTTTGTGATGGCACAACACTGCTTTTGTCTTTTGTCCCCCTTGCCCTCAGGCAGGCACCTCTGAGGATTTCTCCTTCTGACCAAGGTGTTTTACAGGAGGCATTTTTAAATTCTTTCTGGTGAGCAGTAAAGCTACATATAAGAAACAGAACTTTCTAGAGGATCTTGAATTAGGAACAGGGCTACATAGAGCCACTGATTACAGGTTGACTGCATTAAAACTATAGTGAGCTTTTATCTTCTCTGGGTTTAGGATTTATGCCAAATCATAAATGGGGAATATAGTATAGCTGTTAAACCCTTAATGCAGTTTCTTTGGGTGTTTTGCCTTTGTTTTGTGTATATCCACAGGAATGTATAAGGATGGGTAATGAGTTATGTTGGGTGAATCCATCTGATTGTGATTTATTTAACAAAACGTGGTCCAACAAATCATGGCTTTGTGTGATATGTAGTTCCATTCATTATTTCAACAAGTTGATAATGGTAAACCTATAAGGTTGTGGAAAACATTGGTTTCTCTGGCATACCTGCTGACTGAGTATTTATGTTCCAGAAAAATGCTGCTACTAGCAACTTTTCTGTTGTTCATCAAATCTAGATATTTTAAATTTTGTTTGATGTTTTGGCTTAAGTTACACAATACTAGAAGAAAGGTATGCCTTATATCATGAATATTCAGTTTTAATTAAGCTTTGGATTGTTTTATTTTGGCAAATTTTGAAAAGACATCTAGATTCGTATCATGTGTAGCCAGACATTATCTTTGATCATATTTGCCAAATACCCAACTCAGTTGCTTTAACTTCAAGGTATAAATGATGTCATAGCAACAAGTGAGAAGGTGGAAAGAAAGTAAAAAACTGAACTTCATTGAAACTTTCATTCCAATGATGAAGAATACTATTCTTGTCCCTTGTTCCATTTTCTAATCCTGATAATCAAACAGATAAGAATAGGTTCATTTCATACTTCATTTGAAATGTAAGACAAATGCAGTGTAAACAGATCATTGCATGTGCTATACATAGATCTCAGCTTGCAATAATTCTGAATGTACATATGTAATAATTCTGTTTATACAAATGCTATGGGAAACACTGATTACAGAATAACTCCCCAATGAAATTCTAAGTAAACCTGCCAAGCTTATCTTCTGTTCTCTTTTATTTGACCTAGTACTTAAAAAAAACCCTGTCTCCGACCTTTTTTGTGCTGACATCTTCTGTTTTCTATGTACTAAGGGGCCTCAGTGTTTTTCCTATAAAATATATTTAACAGATTGATTTTCTAATTAAAAAGTTTACATTTGTAAATGAGGTTCAGCTGTTGCTTCTTTATACCAGTAATATTTAATAGGGTCCTTGGTTCAACTTGACACTGTTTCTGTACTCTGAAACAGACAAACTGCCTAGAGAAGCTGATTTCACAGAGTTGCTCTAGGAGCTTATTTCTATTTTGGAAGCAGGAAAGGATAGGTAACCCTTTCAGTACGCACTTTGTACAGTACTGTTAAGCAGAAGGGGGTTAGTTTAGCTTCACACTGACATGGGGTTATTTGGGGCTAAAAACTAAACCTCTTTCGGTTAGTTGTTGTGATTATTTAATTATATTAGGTTGCTCACATGACACATTTAATGCCATTTCCCCCCACCCCCAGTTAAGCTCATTGTGTAAATACATTTGAAGAATTTTTGAAAATCAGACTTATACATAGGTTCATAACTTTGGTTTGCCAAGAAAAGTTAATACCTCAATTAGGATTCTAGAAAATGTCTTACTCTAATGAGGTGTATAAATTATTTTTTCATTGCTGGCATGACTAATTTTGCTTTATATTTTGGAACAGAAATGGGACAACTTTACATCTTCCACAACATTATATATACTCTAATTATTTTGGAACCAAACTCAAATTTTAGCCAAACTTGGAGTTGCAAATGAATTTTCCCAGACTTGTCTCCTTTCCAATTAATACCTAGCACACATAAGTGAACTGGCGATTTACTAAGCACATTCTTAAGGGCACTATCACTGCTACTGTTTTCTATTGATTGTATCATATAATCTTATACACAGGCTAATTTGTAGGAGACATTTAATGTATGGGGGCCATGCTTCAGTAACAAGGGGTTGGTCAAGATAGTCTTCTTATTTATTTTTTTTACAATACAGTGTTTTCATTATTATTTGCTTTTTAAAGGAATCCTTGGCTTATGCAAATAGAAAGCTGAAAACAATTCCAGGTGAAAAGGTCTTAAGAGACACTAAAGAAGAACGTGATCAGCAAAACAGGCTTAAAGAAATCGACCAGCAGCTGAAAAATCTAGGAGAAACTGTAAGTTTATTAATTTTTAAAAATAATATATACAAAGCATAAGAAAAATTTGCACACACTGATTAGATTCTAAATGTTTTGTTGCAATATTTCTGTAAGCTTAATAACAAATAGATTAATGTGTCTAAGTAGATTAGAAATAAATGTGTATTCTGCTTATATATACATTTATACTGTATAGCATGTATCATGTTAAGATAAAATGAAACAGATTAAATTGTATAACCAGTTAAAATTTAGTGTTAAAAAAACAGCTTTCTAAAGATATTTAAAAACAAGTCCCTTTATTTCCTATCTTAACACTGTATATAGCTAAAACTACATCAGATTGATTGACTGATTGATTGTCTGATTATGTGCCATCAAGTCAGGGCTCAACTTTTAATGACCACATAGATTGATTTTCTCCACAATGATCTGCCCTAACCTGGTCCTTCAAGTCTTCCAATGTACCCATCACCACTATAATGGAGTCCATCCATCTTGCTGCTGGTGGTCCTCTTCTCTTTCTTTCCACCTTTCCCAGTATTACAGCCTTGTCCAGAGAGCTAAGTCTTCACATAATGTGTCTAAAGTAAGATAATTTGAGCCTTGTCATTTGTGCCTCAAGTGAGAACTCTGGATTGAGTTGTTTGATAATCCATTTGTTTGTTTTCTTGGCTGTTCATGGTATTCTCAGGAATCTTCTCTAACACCAACGTTCAAAGGTGTCAATACACTTTCTATCCTGCTTCTTCAACATCATATTGGGGGACCAATAAACCAGTAGAAACATCAGAGGCTAAAAAGAAGACAATAGTCTCTGTGCCTCTCCCCATTTTAAAAACTGAAGGAAGTAGAAGGAGGAGAAAGATTGGCTATTTTTTTTATTACTGAAGAGTGTCTTGAAAAGATGGCACTTCACTGTATTATATCATTCCCATGAAGCATTCTAATCCAGCAAGTGCTTTCAATTAATGCAGGAAACAGTGAGATTTTTTGTAAGAAAAAAAGGCTTTATCTTATTTAAAGTAGGGTAAGAAAAGCCAATCTGAGAATGAAGGACATTGATTGTAAACATTACATGAACTTATTTCATGTTTGCTTGTCAATAATTTCACTTTTTACGTTTGAGAAGTAGATTGCCGCCTAGTTGATCTTATGTTTTAATATAAATTAATCTCATAACATGGGATTTACACTTGCCAGAACAACAATTGAGCTATCTTTTCATCAAAATTCTTAGAATGGCAAATCTAAAATAGTTTGTGTCAGTTTTGTAATGTCAGTTTAATGAGTAGTCAAGTCTCCAAACAAAACAAATCCAGGCTGTGTAATTTCTTTCTGCTATTGACCTTTGCCCACTTTCTCCCACTTGGTCACTGACCCTTGCTATTTATGGGAATACAAGCCTGCACAGGAATCCTCAGATTGGTGGCTTAGTCTGCAATAACCAATGGCTGAACTTTGGAATGCTTTGGGCTACTGATTCATTAAAATACAATGAATGTTAACAGGTCAGTTTCAAGGTCTGATTAGTATAAAACTGTTCTTGGAATTTGTTTAGCATATACTCACCACTCCTCCTCCGCATACCAGACATTTTTTTCTTGACTTGAGAGAATGCCCATAAGACCTTATGGAAGTAGAAACTATTCTTCACTTATTAAATTATAAACAAATAAACCACCTGCATTGTTGCATAGCCTAGAGCCAGGATGGCATTCCTTTATACTGTGAAAACTTTTTAGTACTTTTGACCCTCATTTTCAAAAGAGGTACATAAGGTATTGGGACAGTTTGTAAGCAAGAAAAAGAAAAAGCTGTATGATTATGGTAGAAAAATAATGACTCTGTGATTCAGATGCAGATTTACCAATATAGTGTAGATGAAAATAGAGATATGTTTGAGATATCAATAATTATTCTACTAAGGATCATGCCTTATTCATTCTCCTTTCCCCAAACTCACATACCAGCCTTATATACATTTCTGCAAGTTTTGCTATGTGCTGTATTCATTTAGCTTTTTTAGTTCATTATTTTACTTTGTTGCTCATTTTACTTCATTACTTATTGCAAGAGTTTTTTGGATCATCTGCAGGGAGGGACAAGAGAAGGCAAATTATGACATATGCATTATTTCATTATGCAAATTCCATAACTTGCCTACTTGCTGCAGACATCAGGACACAAATGCAAAATGGCAGAAATTGCACATCATCATACACATGCAATCATTCTGGCATCATCGCAGTTTGCTGTGGTTGCCGCTGGCTTCTTGAGCTCATTATTAAAACACAGCTAAGACAATATTTTCTTAATATAAAATTTGTGATATGTTGTATGTAAGGATTGCAGAATGATTATACAAAATATGTACTAATAACTGTTTATACTATTATATAACACTGCAGAGAGTCCAATAACTGTTCATAATTTTAGCAAGCTAGTTAGAAAGCTGACTGTATGAGCAGAGAAACTGGCATCTGCAAGGGGTGAGGGGCAGGGGAAAAAAATAGAAGGATTCAAAGACAAGATAGAGGACAAGATAGAGCAACAAATTGCAGGCAGGACCAGCTTTTCAGGAAGATGAGATTCTGAGTCAGGAGGAGTAATGAAAAAACAGTGGGAGAAGAGCAAGGAGGAAGGAAGAACAGTGAGGAAGTAAAGTTCAAATGAAAGTATAAGATCTGTTAAAGTGATAGAGCAAAGAGTTCCAGACAGAAAATATCATTGGGTGGAATTACAGGTAGTGCCCAGTTTAAGAATGAGTTCCGTTCCCAAGGTTTGTCCTTAAGCTGAATTTGTATGTAAGCCAGAACAGTATTATTGTATAATACAGTATAAGTAGTATTGTGTAATTAACTTGCACCATTGTGCATTTAACTAAAATTTTGCTACAATAGGCTCTGCTCTTAACTATGAGTCTTCTGTAAACTGGACGTTCTTACCCCGGGGACTACCTGTATAGAAGCTGGGAGGAGAAGATTTTTACCATCTTGTATACTTGGTATAACAGACAAAGGGCAACACAGTTACAATTGATGGAAGATGAAGCGAAGAAGTCCTCTCCAGCTTCTGCTTTCCTCACTTTGCAGTTCATTTCCTTAAGGACATGGATTCCAAACAATTCCTGTCCTGCATCCTTTTCAAACATGGGGTGGAGATATCAGTCCTCAGTGCTTCAAACCAATATGCCTAAGAAATGTGCAGCAGTGTTTCTCAGTAAAAACAAGAGTGTTGTGACATTTTAGAGATAACAAATTGAATTGTAGATTGAACAGTTATTTATTACTTCGTATGTTTTGTGAATTTTCTGAAGGCATTCGTATTTTACAATATATTGAGGGTAATTTTAAGGCAGTAAGCTTCTTGAAGGAGTACTTCTGCATAGACATGAAACTGCTTATTATAAATTTAATTTACTGAGCTGAAATTTATTCTTATGATTTTTTTTTAATTTTAGAAAACTGAATGAATATGTTTATGTGTTTAAAATAAATTTATAAACCACCTTCCCTCTCAAGTGAGTACAGGGCAATATCCTTAACTTTAAAAGAATATAATAAACAAAACTAAGAGGCATGGAAGCATAGCAACAAACATATAACTCAACCAATTCAAAAGAACTGAACTTGGCCTAATGTACTCTGAGTTATCCATAGTTTTTCTTCTTCCCAGAATTCTTACTTTGATCTCCAGGTTTTCCCTATATATTTGGTCTGGATCAAGATTCCTACTGTCATGGTCCTTTATGGATAGGCTTTCTGTAAAGTTCACTTCTCATCAAACTAAAAGAATGAATTGGGGTGGAGTTTAGGTGAAATGTCCTAGTTGAACTAGCTGCATAGGTAGCATACCAATTTCAATAATGGTGATTTTTTTTCCAAAAAAAGTTATAT